GTATATGGGAGAAAGTGCACTTTGCCTGTTACCTGATACCCCTTGGTATTTGAATCTGCACCTTACGTATATATACCTACTTAGTGATGGCATTCTCGCGCCAACTCTTACATTAATTTCCTTGACAGCTTGTGCTAAAATATATCCAGTATTATGTATGCGGGGGTGGTGTGGGGATCAGTCAGAGTCATTGACATCCGATAATTTCATTCATCAGTGTTAATGTGGCCTGCATTTACGATGTCATCAATATTTGTGTGGTGCTCAGCCGGCCAGCCATTCAGGATATCAAAAAAGAAGCAATCTGTGGTTTATATGCTCTGCAGTGGCATTTTCATTATACGGTCTACGGAATATAATAAGCATAAGGGGCACGTGCTCCAGCCTTATCTGTTAGATAGTCTTTTATCAAGACAGAGTATTTTCTGCTCTTTTTCTTTATTTGTCTTTGGGCTAAACTCTTTGCTAAGGTTCAAAGCGGTTCAAAGCGATGAGGGCAGACCGCCTTTCGCCTTATATTGTATAAACACATTTAACTTTGCAACATCGCGCATGGCATGGCATTTCATGTACTTATTGTGAGAATATTCCACCGTTTGCAGCGTCTCGAGCGCAAATTGCACACTTACTTTCCTTCAATTTGCTGAATCTTTTGAAGCGAGAATATGTTGCCAAAAAACGTTGAACCTAAGCTCCAGCGAACGCAGATTCGGTCTTCGAGAGAACTCTGATGTGAGTTAAATCAGCCGAATATAATATTCAAGTGGCATAGATCTTTTGCCCCGTGACGCAGTTTAGCTAGTGTGCTAGGTGCTTATTTTTCACTGGTTTTATCTTAGTAAGAAAACTTTTCTTAAGTCCGAACGAGCACCTTGAATTCTTTGTTTGCCCTGTCGCCGTCACTGACGTACCGCTTCATGTATCCCATCACAAGTCTGTATATCTGTATCCACCGTATCTAAAGCTGTGTCTGCACCTGTGTCTGTATCTGTATACAGATATATGTATCTGTAGGTGATGCTGTCTCTGTCTGTGTTTTATGGCTACTTGTTGACTTTGGTATTGCCATTGCTGTTGCTGTTGCTGTTGTTGTTGTTGTCGGATTTTCAAGTTTATCAACTTGCCTGCATGGCAATGTAGCGATATGAATATGCGAAAGTGAGCACTGGCACTTGGCAGTCCCGTCCCTGCATTTCCACAGATTTCCGTGGACAAACCTGCAGCTTTCCATTGTTTTCATTATTACTCGTATATCGGCTGGCGATATGTTCACCTACCTATGTACATACATATCTGGATTTTATGGCGGCGGCTCATAAGCCGCAAATGTTTGCTCTGCAAGTACGTGTCATTCTGGCAGCGTGGGCGAGTGGCTAAGGTTTTACTGGCACTCGCTTTCGCTGGCACTCCCCCTTTTATCCTCTTCTCTTCTTCTAGTCTAATGCATTAAGTCGATTTCTCGCTCCAGTGGACTTGGTTGCTGCCACAAGCAGCCCTAAGGACTCGAGTCCTTGCACGGGCCTCCCGCCTGTCGCTTTGGCTCAGATTTGGCTTGGCTTTTGCACGCTCAATGGAATACTTTCACTTTTCGAGACACTTTCGCTACATTCGCTCTGAAACTCAATCGAACGTTAGCAAAAACGGCCGGATCTATTCTCGTAAGGATGTGGATAGCAAGGAGAGTCCCGTCCTCTGTCCCTGTCACTGTCACTGTCCCAGGAATGGGTTAGTGGTTCGCTGGTGCGTGGGACGAACTTAAAAATCTGTAATCAGTATTTAATTAACCGTTTTAAAGAAATTCAATCAAGCTACTCCGCTGCCTCGCTTCGTTCCCCGGGGGTTAATTAACTTTTGCAGCAGTGAAAACAATGCTGCAAAGCCAGATCCCAGCAAAAGCTTTATTATTTCATATTATTTTATCCGTCTTTTGTCTTTGTGCCACTGTTGTGCCGCCGAGCCCATCATGAAGCAATTAAGAGGATACAACAGGACACTTCTTGGGGTTAAGGTTGTTGCTCGGAAAGAGTTCTTCGTGTTTGTTTCGTGGGGGAACAAAAAGCCAGTCGGGCTTGTTCACAAGTTGCACGCACATTATTTATAATTTATATACAAACAAACATATGTATGCATGTAAGAGTAAGATATTCAAATAAGCGAGACCTTGAAGGCAGTTGTCTGGAAAGTTGGGGCACCTTAAAGTAGGCAGGACTAAATCACATTCATAGGGCCATTACATATGTATGTATGTACACGCATACGCCTGGCAAATGAAGAATGTCGTGCCGTCAATCAGACGTCCGTCCCCTCCGTCCTCTCTTCAAGCACTATTCTGCCCCTTATTACTGTTAATTACTGCTGTTTTCGTACGTAAAGCTTTTAATCCCGTGAAGCCACAACACATTTGCAAGCTTGCTAACAAACTTCATGCCTAATTTTTGTTAATTTTTTTCCCTGCGCATCCCCCCCGACACAAGGCCATGAGCGTGGCCTGTAGGGCGCCTGGCAATTTATGCCAAAAGTTCTGGCAAATTGCTCATTTCAAGCACCGTTTGGTATGCAACACCTTAGTGATATTAGAAATTCCACCAGGGAGAGACAGATTTATGCCAATTACACACAGACACACCGACGCAAACACACCCACAGCCGAAGCCTTTTCCGCGCCTTTCTATGAAATCCTTACCTTGGGTTAATAGATCCAAGCAAAACCAGCTGCAGATACACTTGTTTTCCCATATACTATCGCGTATAGGGGATTTTGACTGGACGAATCTGCTGATGCGGCTGTTCTTGTAGGCACTAATCGTGTATTAAGGCCTGTACTGTATGTCTGTATGCTTATTTATTGGATCAGTTCAGGCACAGTTAAATGTGTGTTTTCAAGTCCAAACATTTTGTATTGCTCATTGCGTTATTGTTGTTTATAATTGTTGTAATTGCTTTAATTGCTATTCGCCGATCACTGGATTCTCGAATCCGACTATGGGCTGCGGCGGGATGGGTAAACAATCTAAAGGAATTCCGGAAAATATAGCTTGTTGAGCAATTCTGCGTTTCAATTCATTTAATATCTGAGTGTGTACGTATATTTATTTATTTGTCTTCGTTTTATTGCAATTTATTTTATATGCACATTTAGTGTTTGTTTCCAGCACAGAGAAAAATTCGAATTCAAGTGTACTCTATAGTCTAGAGCAACAGTGGGGTGGGGGATATTGAGCGACTGGGCGGACGGGTGGAGGAGGTGGAGGCGGAGAAGGATGGCCATAGCCATAGCCCCTGCCAGTGCCAGTGCGAGTGCCGACTGGCAATGACCCGGAAGTTTTCGGCATTTCATTTATCTCGTTTTTCGTTTTGGTCTTCGGCGCGGGTGGGATGGGATGTGAGATGTAGGATGGGTATCTTGTACCGTTTTTTGGGCTTATTTTATAACAATAAACAAACTGAAATTTTCGCCATGGCTCTTCACGAGATCTGGCTCATTTGTTTGGTTTACGATTTTAAAGATTTACGATATTTGTTTCACCAAAGTGTACTCTATTCCTGGCCCTCTGTTTACGAGTCAAAACTAAAGGTAGGAGTAAATTTGTTTCCGATGAGCAACAAAATACCTCTGATCCGGGTCCCAGATAACACTCGCGTCCATACATTCAGTTAATAAAAATATTATTCAAGATGCTTGCAATTCTGCTCTTCTGATTAATTGATTCGGACTGACAGTTCTCACAGAGAGAGAGAGAATGCACTGAAAGCACAACAAAAGATAATGGAAGGGGGGCCGCGGCACCAAACAGAGGGAGGCTGCATGAGTACACGAGTATATGGCGATCGAGCGAGATAAACAAATAGAGAGAGGGAGAGAGGAAATATATACACACGTCCAATGCAAACCAAACAAATCACAGAAATAAACCATAAAGGGAAAATATATGTAAATTGATTTTCTCGATTCCGCCGTCCCGTCCCCGCGAGTCCTACGGGCATTTTCAATTCCTATCGAGATGGAAGTCCTATGCACCCGCTGCCGATCACATGGAAGCATGGAGCTTTGCTAAAATAAGTTTCGATGCTCGCAATTTGCGTAATTTCCGACGCCCCCGACTTTGCATTGGCTGGGACACACACACGCGCCGCACTTCACTGAACGGGCACCACAGGTCACCGTGGAGTTATCAATTGCTGGCAAGACCGTCGGCACTTTTATTCGTTTATTGGGAATACTTTTTGGCCCCTAGGCGTTTACGAACCGAACACGTTGGAGCCCCAACAACAATACAATTATGTGAGCGCTGGAGACGCACTAGTACACAGGCACGCAACACACAACACACACACACTGAACAGCTGTTCGCGTTGATCGCAGCAGCGCTGCCAGACCAGCGCAGTATTTCATACTTTTTGCTAATGAGCGCCAAAACCATAAAGCCAGCTATGATGCCATGACATGAAGTTCGCTCCTGGGTGTTTCAGGAACGGGCAGTGTTAATTATTTATCTGCAGTTCGCCTAACTGGAACGCACTGCTGACCTTCGTACGGCCCACACTTCCCGCCGCTCTCGGGTAATTAGGGTATGTACAACTTTAAAACACGCACACTTAGTGAATTATTTTTATGGCGCTTGGTTTGCGACCGTAGATGGCAGGATAGCGAAAGCAAAGGACTTGACAGACTACACCGTGCTGCTGGCCGACTACAACTCAGGGAGCGGATTTGGAGAAGTTCCTTATATACCAGCCATGACCAGGACAAGAGGCAAGACGCAGAGCGCAGGCGCAAAGCGGAAACGGTGTCACCTCGCTGCTGGCCTACTGTGTGGTGTGTCCTAGTCAAAGGACGAAGAGAGAGCACACATGCAACAGCATATCCGTGGAGATGATTCAGTTGAAAAGAGCGAAAAGAGACTAAATGTGAAAGTGTTCTCCCTGCTGTCAACCATCAGCTGTTGCTAGCACAACACTTACTTTGATTTTAGGTAACGATATACTATTAAAATGGCATTACATTTAAAAGACTTTAAACTATTGTATTTCAGAATCCAGAATGGTATTTCAACTTAATTTAATTCATTGCGAAGGCGTCGATTACGCTTCCAGTCTCGCACTTTTTCACGCTGCATATCTTGACGAGTACGTCGCTGCTGAAGCACTGGATCCCTTCGCATTGTTGCTTTCGTATCAAATGCCTTGAAATGTGTTACCTTTGCGGGTGGCTGCTCAATCCCGAGGCCGGTTCTTTGCTTTCGTAGCACAGTCTTCACCGGATACAATCGTCCACTTTGGGTAGGTCCCAGACCGTGCTCGCGGTCCCAGCCCTGTTTGACCATAAGCTGGAGCCCACGATTTTTCGCAGATATATTAAACTTTGCTAGCTTGTGGGGCGGAAACGCTTTCATATTGAACTGGTGCACAGTGGATGTTTGGTGAATATTCCACGGTGTTTCCTGGAAGTTTCGTTTACAGACACGACAATGAAAGGGCGTTGTCAAGTCTTCCATTTCTTCCTGTATATCAGCTTCCTTTGCGCCCGATGAGGTTTCAAGAATTTGTACTACTTCTGTATGTCCTTTCAGCTTGGCCAGTGCGAGAGCCGTGTTCCCAGACTTGTCTCGGACATCTGCCTGCGCCCCATTATATAGAAGCCATGCCACTGCATCCTTTGCACCCTCACATGCAGCCATCATAAGTGCCGTCCAGCCATAGCCGTCGCAGGCGTTCAGCTCCAAGTCTGTGATGAGCATTTGAGACATCTCCTCCACCTTATTGCTGACGGCAAGACGAAAGAACTTGCTCTTGTCGAACGGCAGCTGAGGTTTCCTCCCGGATTCATTGGACTTCTTAAGTGTACGTCTGACGGCTTGACGAGTGGCTGGTGTCTCCAACACTTCTTTGTAGAAATTCTGAGCTTCAGCTCCGTCCAGACCATTTATTTTGTGTCTGGTCTCGCTTATCTGTTGCGGAGCAGATTCTACGTGGCCGGCGCGGACGAAACGTTTTAGTTGAAGCGGTAATGTGGTTAGTGCCAACCAGTTTGGATGCAGTTCGTCTCCAGCCGAATTCATTTGCAAAAAAAAAAACTTGGTAAACAATAATTTTATATGCAAGTGCTGTAAAACAAACAAAAATTAGTGCTGCACCTTTTGTATCGGATCGGACATCGTATATCCCGATTGTTGTTTTTGATTTCATTTTCATCATAAAAATACGGCCGATTGAAACTGTTATTCCCCGCGTTATTTTATGTGAACGGAAAATACGAAATTGGATGGATAGAAACGCAACTTGCGAATATAACTAACCACAAATTAGTTGTTCAGGATTTCAATAGAAATAATATCTAATATCTCGGAACATTTAACTCGATATTTATTGTCACTATCCTACGCTTGGAGTTTACCAACACTCGTTCTCCCCTCTGCTTTTTGGCCTGTTTTTCTTACCAACCGCGTAAAAGTAAATTTCACAACTTGTTTAAATTGTCACTGATATGAAAAATGAACGAAAGCAAGCGTAGTTTACTATGAATTAACTGCCTAAAAACCAATAGAATATAAACGAACATAGAAACAACGGTTTGGCGCTTAGAAATCCCGACTTCAGGTTGTACTAGAACTGCGCAGTTAAAATCAATAACCATAACTGTAAGGACTCCTAAATGTGAAACGCCCAGGACAAACAGGAACAGTGCGAACAATGTCCGACGAAGAAGAAGACTCGGTGTCCGAGGGCTTCTCTGCCAGCGAGGACGAGTGGAAGCCCAACAAAAATGCTCGCGGAGGCGAATCATCGGACGACGACGATAGCGACTTCGATGAGATGCAAGCCGCGGGGGCGGCTGGTGCTGCGGGTCCTAGCGGCCGATCGTCTGCGGGCGCATCAAAAAAGAGGTAAGCAGGCAATCAATGGACATTCATCCCGTTTTGGTTAACACTCCGCTTCTGTAGGGATCAGAAACCGCCGAGCGGCATAAAGGGAGCTTCAGTAAAGAAGCGCAAGCCAAGTGGCCAATCTCTGCGCTCAAAGCTGTACAACAAGTACCGACCGCCGCCAAAAACTTTTCCCACATCGCCCTCCCAGCAGAACTCGCCATCAGCGTCGGGTTCAAAAAACGCAAGAACGCCCAATGAAAGTGGTGCACAGGATCGGCACTATGCCGATTCCAGCAGTGAATCCAGTGTAGAGGACTATTTGGTGAATCCCGCTGACCTCGATCTACGCTCGAGCTTCTTTTCGGCTCAGCCATCGTCAAAGGACAAGTCGCCAGCGCCTCAATTCGATTGCAATGCGGGTATTAAAATTCTCTCAGACTCTGGCTCCGAGGATAACAATGACAGCAGCGTCGAGGACAAAGCGACCAATGCGTTTGACTTCCGCGGGCTCCTAGAGAATGCCAACAGTCTGGAGCGCACCAGGGATGCGCTGGCCAGACGCGCCGTCACAGCCGCATCGCCCAAAAATCGCGCTGCCACAATGGATGTCAATGCACTGCTTGCATTGGGCGAAAATCCAAATCAGAACTACGCCAAGGCGATTGAATCTGATAAGGACGAGGTCAAGGAGGAGCGAGCAAGGCGACGAGCTTCTGCTGCTGCGGAAGCCCCGCTGCCTCCAATGGACGGACCGCCTCGTCTAAGCAAGACCAAGTCGACGCGCATAAAACGACACACAAAGACGCGGCCCGTGTCCACTGTGGTAGCTGCTGCTCAAGACACAGACGACTCCGATTTTGAGGAAGTGGCAGGTAGGAGGAAATACAAGTAGTTTGTCAACGCTCCAGAAGGCGAGAGTAGCGTGTGGAGCATGCTTATGAAAGTTGGTTGTGGCGCTCGATGGTATGGTATTAATGGGATCCTGGTATCTGAAAAACAAAAGCTTCCAAATTGCTCCGTATGAGACTGTAGTTTTGTTTTCTACTTTATTTGTCGAGTGAACATAGAAATTACTTACATTCGTAAGACAAGGAACGGAATGAAGTTGTGTAGTCGTATGTATCTCTTCGATATATGTACCTATTTACTGTAACATATTGTTAGTCGATCAGACTGAAAAACTAGCGTAACACATTCCCCAAACACACATTCACCCCAGTAGATGATGGCTTTTGTTGAGAATGCTTGCTTTAACCCGAAACGTAACGAAACGAAACTAACAATAACTCATGATAACCTGTGAATAATTAGCCAGCCAGTCGCACCGACAAGAAGCCGACAAAGTTCGTGATTTATGTATAAACCTAAACCTGTGTATTCGGCGGAATCTGTACACCTTCGTGCGTACTACTTACTTATGAACGTATTTTGAAAACGAAATCAAAAGTTCAACTATTATAGAGGCTTCTGGCAACAACAAATTAAAACAATCTCTTTTTCAATATCCACGATTATCCATCGGCATACAAAGATGGGGGGGTTAAATGGGGTGACCTCTGAAAGATAATTCAAATAATGTTGATTTTTTGTATCTAAATGTGGTTTAAATGTCTGCACCCACGAGTATACGGAAAACAACCAATGCAACCATTAATTATGAATACTTTATATAAAATGCATTTACATACTACATATTATACATATACGTATGTATGCTTGTTGTGTGGGGAGTTTAAAATTTTCGTTGAGAGGAAAGGAAACCAAACCAAACCAAAGTCCAAACTATAAGCACATTTGAAATGCAATGTGAAAATAATAATTAATATGCAACCATTTGTGTAATTACTTTATGGCGATTTCAAGTGTTTCAAACAAATGAACAACAAATAGCTAACCTAACCAATTAGAACTGATGTTTAACGAATTTACTTTAGCAAAATTATATTCATTCCACAGAGTATTTAGTATTTAGCATTAGCATCGCATCTGCTGCAGAGTAAATGCAGAGTATGAAAAACAAAACAAAAAAAACTAAAATCGATGAAAAAAAAAAAACAGGACAGAATCCGTAATTTTAGCGCAATTTAGTGAATGTTGATTGTAATAATTAATTAATTCAGTAATTAAAACTTAAAACGCACTTTAAATGAAATAAATAAATGCAAAATGTTAAAAGGAGTTAATGGCTCTGGTCTGCTCTATGCTCTCTCGGGGGTGGTTGGCTATGCTATCCAGGCCCCTAGTCTCAAGTCCAGTCTCCTACAATAGCATTAGTGTTAGCCCCACTTCGCCAGTGTCGCCACTTCCTCATTGTACCCCACTCCACTTCCCATTACAGACGCGGAACTTGGCAGCGACGAGGATGGTGCCGCCACTCCGAACATCTCTGGCGATCTGGAAATCCACGTCGGCCAGCAGGCCGGCCGCCTTACCAAGGAGCAGAAGACCCAGCACGAACTGGAATTGGCGTTCAAGCGTCGCCTCAACCGCGACATTAAGGATCGATATCAGCTGCAGCACAAGGTCAGTCTGATGGCCCAAATGACTCGCAGCATGATATACAATCGTCTGCTGGGCGACTCCGAGCTAATGGCAGGGGCGCTGAAGCTGCTGCCCAGCAAGAATGCCTACCCCACGGAGCGGGGCACAGAGTTGAAGTATCTGCAATCCTTTGTCACATGGTTCAAAACTGCCGTCAAACTTCTTCACCCCCACTTGTATCCTGAGCAAACGGCGGATACAAAGCAGGGCATTATCAAGGAGCTACTGACTCAAATCAAGCGCAAGGAAGCTCGCTGCAAGCAGGATATGATCTTCATATTTATAGTACTTGCACGAGGAATGGGCATGCACTGCCGGCTGATCGTGAATCTGCAACCAATGCCGCTGCGGCCCGCAGCCAGTGACCTAATTCCGATCAAGCTAAAATTGGATGAAAAGAATAAGAGTCAGAGTCAAAATCAGACGGTAGATTCCGATGATAACAGCGACAACTCCGCTGACGAAACGGTGGAGCGCAAACCTGCAACCAGGGCCAAGCCTGCGACGGTGATAAATAGTGGCAAGCAAAAGCTGCGCCCCTTTACAGAACCCAAAGGGCCCAATCCCAGCTCACGCAGTGTGAAAAGTGTCCAGAAGGAGGGCGATGCAGCTAAGCCGCCCAAAAAAGAGGCTGAAGACATCAAGCCAAGCAGTAGTTCCAGCGCAAAGTCAAGGAAAGTCAAGGAGGAATGTGACCGTGAGCGAGTACAGAAGTCCAAGTTGGTCAAAAGCGAAAGCCCGTCTAAAAGTGGTCTTTGGGCGAGCCCAAAGTCCGAAGAATGTGGCACCGAGGAAAAGCCAAGTACTTCGAAAGCAGCCAGGCCGCAGTTGTCGGCGCTAAAGCGTGGCGGCACGGTTACAGGAATTTCAGGAGCGGACGAGAGCAAGAAAGTCAGGTTGGCTCCTCTAAATGTTTTCTCCCCAGTAGCAGGACGTACACGTAACTCAGCTGAAAAGCCAAACCCTGCAGCTCTGCAAAAGAACAGAGCGGGGTCCCCGCAGAAGATCGGATCCCCAGTCATTCCCAAGCTGGTCTTCTCGAAAGCCAAACTGCAGAATGCCAAGCACAGTGATGCGGAGAACGCAAATCCCACAGGGAAGCATCAGCCGCAGCATCAGCAGCAGCTAAGTGCGCGTGAGACGCGCTCGCGTAGCAAGTCGCCAAAGGTCCACATCTCACCCACTTTTTTAACGGGTAAGTCTGGCGCTGAAAGAGCAGAGAGCACAACGAGCCAAGCGCTTAGCAAGGGCCAAGAGGCTGAGGCCACAACATCTGCTGGACGGCAGCTCCGGACTCGCCAGCAAAAGATCGGAAAACGGGCCATACCTCAGTTAGATGGCACCGACGACCTGCCAGTGTCCAAGAAGCGACTGAAGCTGGAAAAGCTGCATAGGTCGCATGATTCCGAGGAAGTATTTGAGCCAGCCAAGCCAGTGAAGAAGGCGCCGATCCTGCCCAAGGCAGTGGAAAAGTTGCGCAAGGACAGGCGAGTCTTGTCGACTGATGATGAGAGCGGCTCCAAAGGCAAGCACAGGCTTGACGCATCGGACATGTGGGTGGAGGTCTGGTCCGAGGTGGAGGAGCAGTGGATCTGCATTGACTTGTTCAAGGGAAAGCTGCACTGTGTAGACACAATAAGGGTAAGATACATGTAATATTCCAGAGGCAACAGCTATTTTAATATCGTGCCCTTGCAGAAAAATGCATCTCCAGGCCTGGCCTACGTATTTGCCTTCCAGGATGATCAGAGTCTGAAGGACGTAACCGCTCGCTACTGCGCCAATTGGAGCTCCGTAGTTCGTAAAGCACGCGTTGAAAAGGCCTGGATCGATGAAACCATCGCTCCGTATCTGGGTCGTCGCACTAAAAGGGATATTTGTGAGGACGAGCAGCTGCGGCGCATACATTCGGATAAGCCCCTTCCCAAGTCTATAGCCGAATTTAAAGATCATCCGCTGTATGTTCTCGAACGGCACCTTCTCAAGTTCCAGGGCCTCTATCCTGCAGATGCACCGACTCTTGGTTTTATCCGTGGGGAAGCTGTCTACTCAAGAGATTGTGTGCATCTTCTGCACTCCCGAGATATTTGGCTGAAGAGCGCCCGCGTCGTGAAGCTGGGTGAGCAGCCCTACAAGACTGTCAAGGCACGTCCTAAGTGGGATAAGGTAGGTACTTATCGAGATCGACCAACGTCAGGGACTGATCTAATATATTTGCTCTGGCCAGCTCACGCGCTCTGTTATTAAAGACCAGCCCCTTGAGATATTTGGCTACTGGCAAACACAGGACTACGAACCTCCCACCGCTGAGAACGGCATTGTGCCACGCAATGCCTACGGCAATGTGGAGCTATTCAAAGCTTGCATGCTTCCCAAGAAGACAGTGCACCTGAGGCGTAAGTTAATCGACCCACCCACAATATGTTTCCATTTCTAAACTCATGTGTATTTTACGTATATTGGCAGTGCCGGGACTGCTGCGCGTTTGCAAGAAGCTGAGCATTGATTGTGCAAATGCAGTGGTCGGCTTTGATTTCCACCAGGGCGCTTGCCACCCCATGTACGATGGCTTCATTGTCTGCGAAGAGTTCCGCGAAGTGGTCTGTGCGGCTTGGGAAGAAGATCAGCAGGAGCAGGCGCGCAAAGAGCAGGAGAAGTACGAGACCCGAGTGTATGGAAATTGGAAGAAGCTCATCAAGGGTCTGATCATTCGCGAGCGTCTCAAAAGGAAATACAATTTTTAAATGTTTAATTTTCTACGTGTTTTTGTGTCGATTGAAATTGAATTCCTCCTTTGTCTCAGTTTTGCGATTAAAATTATGTTTGATTTAAATAAATTGTGCTATTTATTAGATTACTTCTAATTCCCTTCGAATTCTTTTATTTTTTTAGTTCCGAATTTGGTGTTTTGGTAACTTTACATATGCATAATCAATCGTATAATATTATTATTTGGTATCAGTTAATATACAAAAAGACTTTCATTAGCTGAGTAGTATGAAGACAGCGATAGCGAACGTTTAAATATAAAAAGGAAAGGACAAACTGTAATTGGGTTCCAACTCCTCCAAGCGTCATCAATTGTGTAAATATCTCATAGTAGCGTAGTAGTAGTCGAGTCTCTACCAGAGCATGGAATGCATCAGAAGCCTCGTGAACTAAAGCAAATTATAAATAAATTAATCGAAAACTAATATGCAGTAAGAGTGGCTTTTTTACTCCAGTACTCCCAACATAATCTGCCATTAATCTTGTTCAATTCTAGCCAGAATCCAGGGGAATTTTGGCTTAGTTTCACTGTTGCTGCTCAATCTTACGTAGGCAAAGTCGTGGTCGCAGGCAAATGCCTGCCCGTCGACACGGAGTTGCCCGGAGAGGGTGTCCTGCTGTTCGTCTGCTGATGCTGCAAACAGCTCTGGGCCTTCAAGTACTCGACATACATTCGCCTGGCTTGGTTGAGAACGCGTGTAACGTCGTGCTTGCGCACCATCTTGTCAAAGTGCATCGCAATCTCGTTGTAGTCCATTCCCGCTTTCATGATGGTGTTGCGGTGCTGCAGGAGCAGGGTAAGGCAAAGAAACATGAGGAAGGCATTGCCACCACCGAATTCTGAGGGCGGAGGCAGTGCCGCCGCCGTAGTGCCCAGGGTTCCGGCGATTCCATTCAGATTGCACGTTCTCTGTGGCGAACGTGTGTACGCGCTCTCGTCGTCGGCATTGGTTGCAATCTCCACAAGCGGGGATACTTCCACCAAATTCGGTTCCGTTGAGATGGGTAGGATCACCTCTGGCAGGCTGCTGCTGTTGCGCATGCCCAGCGGGCTGTGCCCGTCCAGCAGCAGGTGGCTCTCGTCAATGAACGGATTGAAGGCGCGCGACTCATTCAGCTGGACGCTGTTGCTCTTGCTGGCCGCTAACCGCTGCCGACGTCGCATGTGCAGTTCGCTGACGTCGGGACACGTTATGATCTCGTTCTCCTTGAGATCATCTACCATATCCAGCGCGTCTTTGTCCAGCTCTTCGTACTCTATGGTATCAGCAGGCATCGACCGTTTTGTGCTCTCCGTGAAGGGCAGCCCAAACACTTGGCGATCCAAGTTTTCCGCCTCCAGACGCAGCTCACGTGTTATAGCGTTTGTCATTGGATAATACTCTTGATCCTGGTCCGGCTCCTGATCGGGTGTGCAGCCGCTGGTGTTGCCCACCTCTAGCACACGCTCTCCCGGCTCACTGTGCTGCAAGTCCGGAGTGCGCTGTCCCTGCGAGAAGTTCTCCAACTCCAGCTGCAGATTGTAGCTGCTCGAATCTTGCGCCTGTTGTATCGCCGTGGCCGCTGTTGAGGCGCTCCAACTAGTATCAGGCAGCGAGGAAGAATCGGATTCATCTAGGGACCCTCCCAATCCGGTTTTGGCCAACTGAACCAGCGGCTTGGTGGCCGCAGTCGAGGCTGGGGGAGACCGCTTTTCACCCAAAAACTGCTGATTGGCAAATCGATCTGAGATGCGGTTCTTATTGATTGTTGCAAAATTGAGAAATTCGTTGAAGTTCTTGACGAGCTTGGGTGGCATCTGGCTCTCGCCGTTACCGGAGACGACAGTCTCGCCATCTTCACTGAACGGAATCGGAATACCAATGCGGCTTGTTGAGGCAAGCTTCTCTTTGAGATCCTTGAAGTGGCTGCCGCTACTGACGCGCTTTACACTCTCGCTGACATGACTGGCATTCGATGCCAATTGCTTAGCAATGATATTGCTTACAGATAGAATGTTATTTTGCTGTGGCTTTTGTCCCACGGTGCCCTGCGGTGTCTTCCTTTCAATTGTTTCCTCGTCCAAATTGCATGACGAGGATGAACTGCATAGGAAGGCCCGTCCTGGGGATGCAGCTTTTGGACTTTCCACTCCTGGGGCATTTTGGGCATCATCTTTAAAGGGATTTGTTTCAAGAAAGCGGGGTGAGTCCTTCCTATCAAATACATCATCATCCTGATCGGAATCCTCGCCGGCAGTTAATTTTTGCACTGACTGAACAGTTGTGTTTTCCGAGGCCCCCTCAATCAGTGCCAGCATTTTGGACTCGTCCAGGCTCTGGTGAACTTTGGCAGAAGTCCGTCGCTGACGACGAGAGGCTGCTCCCGCATGCCGAGACATATTATCGTCCAGGCTGTGATTTAACCGCTTCGTATTGTCCAGAGCATGGGCACTAGCCCCGATGGAAGAGCTTAGTGAGCTGAGAGATGCGGACGAGCTCTGACGACGCAGTGCACAGACCTTTGTGTAGGGATTTTCCCGCGGCTTGGTTAATAGATAAGAGGGACTAGTCGGCGTCGCGCTATAGGAGCTGGAGAATGTGCTTGCACTGCTGGGCACTGAGGCATCCGTAAAGGCAAAGAATTCCTGAAAGATGACCATTTCGAATTTAAATAAATCAGAAGTGCTATGAATGGATGGACAAGTTCTATGGATAGGCAAATGGAAGCTTGACGATATAGGAATCAGCTTTATATTTCATGCTCACAAACCTTCTCAAACAACTGAAGTTCCATTTCGCTGCTGGGGTTGCTGCCATAACGGAGCGAGCTCCATTGCACCTCCAGCATGCGCAGCGCATCCTCGAATGGGAACTCCCGCTTCAGCTCGAGGAGCAGCCAACGGTAACAGAAGAGTAGATCGTCCGCCTGCTGGGACTTGAGGTACTCCCAGAACTCGGGATCGTAGAAGCTTAGAGCCTCTGTGAGGTGTGCGAACTTCTGGGTCATCGCGATGCCGTCTAGCATGAAGTTACCACGGACGCGAGCCATGATGGCACAGAAGCATATGTAGGCTTGTGCTTCATCGTTCATGGTGACCAGTAGGGGCGAGGCTATATCCGACATTCCCTGACAATAGCTGACCGAGGGATGGTTCAGGGCGTAGGTGGTGAGAATGTTGAAGAGCGATGCAATGTTCTGATTGTCGTCGCTGCCTGCGTAGAACGGATGCAGTCGGTCTGTGCGGAGGACATCCTTTTTCACCATGCTAGTCACGTAGGCGAGCTCTCCGGCCACACTGCCCCGTTTAATGGCCGCCTTCCACGTGTCCCTTAAGCCGGCAGTACTGCTCCGACTTGCGCCGCATGAACTCCATCCGCTGATGCCCATCCAAGGCCAGTCCGTGCGTCCCGCCTGGATAGACATTGAGCAGGTGCTTCCACACAACGCGACGAAGGCTAGGATCGATCCCGCCCAGGAAGATAACCTTGTGCAGCTCATCCTTGCGCTGGATCTGGCCCAGAGCATCTAGGAAAAGGCGAAATTCGCTGTCGCACATGGGGGGCCGTGGCGGGAGGTTGGCCATGTGTTCCTCGGACAGATTGAATGCCTTCTGTACGATCGAAAAAGTCTTTTCCATGTGATTCATGATGAGGCCCGGCAGCTTCGTCTGCATGTGTTGAACATACTTCTGCGAGACACCCAGCGACTGCAGCGGCGACACAAGCTCCCGGGCAGATGCATGCCCGCCACCACTACTCCCCCCACTGGGGGTGGCCGAGAGTGTCGATGAGGTTATGCTGCTTGATCGGCTGGTGGTCGCGGGCGACTCCGTCTCGCACTCCCTTACCACTGTGAACGGTTTCACATCGATCTGCAGTATCAGACAGGGCTCCGAGGCCGTCTGTATGGAAATGTTGTGAATTCGCAAAAAAGCCGCGTCGAGGTCCCAATCCGAGCGGACGGCCAAGTAAATTTCATTGCCAGCCGGATCAAAGGCTTTGTACTTAATGGAGAAGTCCGACTTAACGTCAAAAGCCTTGGCGAGCAAAGAATACAGAACCTCCAGAGTTGTTATCTGGGGGTCCACCGAAAACTTTCGCCACTCTGGCGAAACTTTCGTCGACTCGCATTTCTGCAAATCAATGTGAAATGTGATAAACGCGATGTAATGGCCCAGTTGTCTCGCTGTTACTCACCTTTACTTTAACCCTCACAGCCTCCCTGGGGCAAATGCCTGCCATGTTCTTTTGTTTATGCACTTTGCGACTAACTTATTTCCATAATTTTACTGTGCTATTTGTTAGGGTTTGGGGTGTTTTTTTGTGTTACCAGACCAGACATTGGCATGCTACATATGTATGTAGCTATTTCTGTTTTTCCAGTTAGCAGCTCTTTCTTTAGAAAACCGTATTCCTCGATTTTGATATTCGGCTTAATATTACTAGCTATATAAGATCCTCAGCACACAACATACATTTTTTTCCGATTAATGAAAACATTTTCTACAGGTTTATCTAATTTTAAGGACTCTCTTTTATTGGACTGCTAATAAAATAGGGTTTAAGCTGAAAAGTCATCCAACATTAAACAGAATTACATTCTTGTTTATGGTAACTACTAACGCGTCCTTAAAAATACTGGAAAATTATTGATAGTTTCTGACCCTCAGAAAAAAACTGAAATATACTTTATCCCTTATCATTTTCAAAATAAACCGAGAAAAAACTAGCTATGCAGCTAGTTAGCAAAGTCATATCCAGTCGTATTCCACTACGCTACACTTCAATATAATAGTATGAAAACCAAAAATTAACTGTGTTCAGAGTTAATTCATATACAGAAAATTATAATTTTAGGGTGTGAATTTATCGTTTCTCTGCTGCAGTGCTGCTACGAACGCGATCAAAATACCCTAATAGATCACATAATGTTTTTATTTATATGTCGCACTCTTCTATTTTAGTCTAGTGGCATACGACTATTAGAAATCGATCTGCGAATCAACCATTGCGAGAGTACCGTGTACGGATTTATATAGTATTTTCCAGTTGGCAGTTGGTATTTTTTATCTCGTATTTTTGACATCGTTTTTCGTGTATGTGTATTTGTATTTTATATACAAGAAGATTTAGTGCAAAATTGTTGTTGTTAGCTTAGTTTTTTAGCAGTTGTGTTTTTGCAAATGCATTTTGTGTCCAGCTACTACACGTTGGCACTTTATGCTTAACTATATTAGGCGCGTGTCGATCGTATTGGTGCGTAATCACAATCGTCAAGACATTGGGTGTGTATATGTGTTGGTGTATTTCGGGCGTGTATGTGACGTGTTAGGCAAGAAGCGAAGCACGGAAATTCCTCAAAATGCCTCTCCTATGATATTGACCCAAGCCCGAACCTGAACCCAAACCCAAGCCCATGCCGGCTTCAGCTGTACCTTTGGTTTTCTGGTCTCCATTAAATGCATCCACGCCAGGCCAGGGCACACGCCTTGAGTTCTGCAATCGAGATAACTTTTGTTTAATTTATGGGCACTTTATCTGTTCTGCTCTGCTCGGCTGTTTGAGCGCCCAAACGCCCAATTGAATGAAGCTCTTCGCTGAACTGAACTGATAAATTCCCCCCTCTTTCTCTCTCTCTCGCTCTCTGTCTGAGTTCGAGTTTAACGCTGTGGTGTTGTCGCTGGCAGTTAAGCACACAACACAATGTAAGTTAAATTATTATGCAAAATAATGCTCCTACTTCCGTTGACGCATTGTGGTACATACTCGTATCATGTGTACATGTATGGATTGCGCCTTCTCGTGGCAACGTGCTTGTATCATTATATGTATTTGATACGTTAACTCCCGTCCGACCAGTACTTACCCTGTACTGTATTCCAATTGACAATTTACATTTACTGAATTTACAGATTGGCTAGGGTTTGATGGATGACACATCACCATGGGAAAGCTACTATCAAAAATTTTCGGCAACAAAGAGATGCGAATTCTCATGCTCGGGCTGGACGCGGCGGGCAAAACAAGTAAGGAGGCTAACAACATTGCAAAGTGCAAAAATTTACTCTAATTTACTCTCACCTCTCGCAGCGATCCTGTACAGACTCAAACTAGGGCAATCAGTTACAACGATACCCACTGTGGGCTTCAATGTCGAAACTGTGACGTATCGGAATGTCAAGTTCAATGTGTGGGACGTCGGTGGACAGGATAAAATTCGACCGCTCTGGCGGCACTACTACACAGGTGATCATTTATTTCGGGCCAAAAAAGCAGACTAAGTTCTAACAAATTAACGGTTGGCTTGCAGGTACACAGGGTCTAATTTTCGTAGTGGACTGTGCGGATCGAGATCGAATAGACGAAGCCCGCACGGAACTGCATAGAATAATTAACGATAGAGAGATGCGGGACGCCATCATACTGATATTTGCTAACAAACAGGATCTTCCTGATGGTAATTATTATCGGCCAAGTCCACACGAATTCAACATTCCTTCTCTTTTACTTTCACGATAATGTCTTGTGTCTTGCAGCAATGAAACCCCATGAAATCCAGGAAAAACTAGGCTTAACTAGAATAAGAGATCGCAATTGGTATGTCCAACCATCATGTGCCACAACCGGCGATGGCCTATCGGAGGGCCTCACGTGGTTAACGTCGAACCATAAGTTATGAGAATCATAATCCATATTTTGTATATGTATATGGCATGTATTATTCGAAGCGAAGCAAAAGCAAAAATATTCTATTTTATTTATACAACAAAAACATAACGCAAGCGCATAGTTAAAAGCCGAATAACGAACGTACATAAATTAAAAATTAAAAACATGTTGAAGCTGGTACACAGAAGTCAGATAGATATATATATATATAGTGATTATATATACTCTCAATTAACCACCCAATATTCTCACTAGTAAAATACACATACGAATTAACGAAGCATCAGAAAATAAAAAGGCAAACAAACAGTAAATATGCGTAAATTAAATGCGTGAAGCACAGAGACAAAAGCAGAACAACAGAAATTAGAGTTAAGTAAGTTTTTCTTGTAAATTATATTGAGACATGTAAGCAATAAGTTGAAAGCTGTTTATTGCAACTGTTACTATATATGACTTGAACGAGGGGAACGAGTCTTAAATAAAAACTGTAAATAAAATAAATATTCAAATTAAAGCCCATACACAACGTCAAACAACAAATAAAACAAAACACCGATAAATTGAGCAAACCCATAGATTTCTATATAAATTAATGTATAACAAAATATTTACGGTGCCTTCCTGAATCGTCTATGTGTATCAGTCTTCCTCTTCAATCCTTACAGATTCCGTTCCTCTCTTACAGAAGTGGAAGCATTTTCCCTATAAGCCCACTCGGCTTTAGCAGGACAGCCGTAAACAGCGATTTGGTCGGAAATGTCCGAAATGAATCCTATTTTCTCCGCTGACTTCCACGAGTCAACGCTTCAGTGTCAGATGCAGTGGGTTTGTATTGTTTATCCATTTCGAAATGCAAACATGCCATGTCCATGTCCAGGGCCACAAATGCGAGCAAGGGGAGGAAACGTCTGAGTCTGAAAGATCAAACAAGGCGTTCAATAATTGCTCTTTGTTTCCCATGACTACCTCTCAAAGTTGATTATGTATTTATTGACATTTACCTAATATTATATGTGTGTATATGTACCTGTGTATGTAGTATACATAAGTCTTTCTTTAATCCCAGCCCTTTGGCTGCTTTGGGTATTTTTAATTGATAGGAGTGAATTGGGAATTGGGAAGCAGCAATCATATACTTTTATTTATTAAATGGTGATAGGAAGTATCAAACCAAGCATAGATAGTCGTGTATTCATACTAAAGGTGGATGATACCAGCTCCTCAAACTCAAATTTCATACTACACGAAGAAGTGTATGAAATTTTTTGGTGCATTTCCGGGACAAAAAGATAGAGATCTTTTTTTAGTGGCTCGATATGAAACGTCGTATAGGTCAGTGAAATAATTGTTGGGAGAGTTAAATGAGAATAAAATCTGTAGACATTTACAAACTTAAGTTTTTTTAGTCTTCGAAGCACCGAACGGAAACCAGCAATGTTACTATTTTATAAGAAGATTCTTTAATCTAAAAAAATAAAACGATTAGTTTTTAATTCATGGATTAAAGTAACAAATATTAGGGTCCAGATTAAAAGTACTCAGCTAAAGATCTGGCTGCAATGTAAATGGTTTAATTTAAAATATTTAATATTATATTTAATTTTAATTGCCAAATATTCATTGCGTCGTTTCAATTAAATTTTCAATGGTATAGCAATTACGAAAAGACTTTTACATTTTAGAAAGCAGTTTCGATCATCAAGGTATGTATCTGCATATGTATTTATTTATATTCTTAATAGTCAGTCAATATTGACGTCTAGATCTTCCACCCAAAGTATTGCGATAAATAAATAAGACAATGAATAGAAACATCTGATCCCAACGCTTTGGGACTGCCGTTGCAATGGCAAAGTATGGCTGAACCAAAGACAATATAATAGCCTTTTTCTAATATTATATTGTCCTTGGCTGAACGAATGGGCTTCATTAATGACAAAATAGACAAGCACATATTTTGAATGATATTTGCATCCAAGTGCTATCAAATTTGGGTAAACTTCCATCAAAAAAATTACCACACAATTCGGTTTATTAACCACTGCTAGCAGCTGAAAATTCAACCCCAGTTGCTTGAATTAAGTCCCCCTTGAGTACAGTTTGGGGAGTTTCTAAAAAGGATACGGAAACACATAATTTCATCCAATCGCTAAAACGGTAAAAATTAGTCCATACGACACGAATAACTTGCAAATTTTCCTTTTAAAAACGTTTTTGTATTTTTTGTTTGTTTGTCAAATCAATGTTGAAAAATTCCCAAGAAATAGATAGTTTGAAAAATCAAATAAAAAGAACTTTTTTTTAAGAATTTTTGAAATCTGTTTTTTTTTTTAAATCGTTTTTCAGAGGTAGCGTTTCTTTTTTCACGTAACTCTAGTATTTTACGTATGGTTGTAAAGAAATTTGAAATTTTGAAAAGATAATTAAAACAGCTAGAAGTTAAGCCCAAACACTTTGTGATTTGAGCTTACCTGGGAAATATAAAGCATTGAAATGCAAAAATTATGATTTTTGTGCGGTATTTTTTACGATTTGACTTTCTCAGGAAAAGTCTGTTTTAGACTGTTGCGTATAGGTGCATTAATTTGGCGTCGTTTAAGGTATCGCTCATTAAAATCTATGGAGAGACTTTAGAGCTAAAATTCGTTAACCAAACCTAAAAAATGGAAAACCTTTTGGAAGGTTGCGGGCCCAACTGCCAATTGGGAACAAAGCAAACGAAAAATGGTTGTACATTTGGTACCTGATCGCGATTCCAATTCCCGAGCTTTTAAAGTCAAATTTTCGCTTCCTCTGAAAAGAGCTTTACAAAAAAATACCAGAATTCAAAAATTCTTCAAAAAAAAGTTCTGCCATAGAAAAAACACCATAATTCTGTAAAATTCTTTTTAAAGTTCCATATCTCTCAGAAAAAGTCTTTTTGGATCCTTGAGGAAAAAAAAAGGTTGATTTTGTCGAGTAGTGTTATAGATGCATAATCTACATTTCAGATGTAGAATAAAAATGTTAGATGTAGATAAAATATGTAGCAACAAAATTTAAAATGTAAAATATTTAACAAATTTCATATATGTACATACACACATACATATATGTATCATAAGCTAGCTTATGTGAGCTCACATATTTATATACTGATTGTGTACGGGTATAAAATTAGAGTCGCGTCAACAGAAGCGACTCACACGTTCCTTCTCGTTTAAATTGAAAAATGATTAAATACAATAAATACACCAAAGTCGAAACAATAATCAAACTTATATGTATGTTAGTTTGTGTGACATAGTTACTTTTTATTCGACCTGAAATATGCAGTAGGGATATTTTGCTTTAGTTAATTTTTAATAGAGTACCAAAGTTAAACTTTAATTTAACTAAACCGTACAAGTTATAGAGGATACAATTTTCATGATGAGGGCTTACTGTACATATGTACATATATGTATATGCATATGTATGTATGTATTTTAATAGGACCGGTGTGCCTGGGACATGTGTATGTAGAACATGGTTTTACTTTTATTTAAATTTTCAGTTGAATATAGTTTGTTATTAATGTATGTACTACATATGTACAGCTGTGGTCATGGAAATAGTAGTGTCGCACATCACCACTTTCAGGTTTGTTTTTTCGACACTTTTAGTAATATAAATTGAACATGTGATCCCTTTTTGGAAAGCCTTAGAAGCCTTTTAAGCTTTAGCCTTAAGCCTTAGAACCTTAAAGAACCCCCATTGCATTTGCATTCCATCTTCATGTTGTACACGAATTAAGACAAATACCCATATAAACTGCTGGTCATAGAAATAGTAGTGCGGGGTGTATTTAACAAAAATTAAAAAAACCGAACAAATTAATATAAAAAGTTACCATCAATAAGTTTATTTTAGTTATTGAATATTTTGTTGAAAGAAAGTTTGGAACATAGCGGTACATTTGACTTTGGAGCGTAAAAGAAATCATTCAACTTATCTTTTAGAGGATGGTTGGCGATGGTTGAAGGCAAGACCATACCTTCGATATCGTCAAAACTGTGAAAACAATTTTGTATCGATTTGTCAGTGATGTGACAGTTCGTCATATTGCATATTAATTAAATGAAAGAAGTCCCAGAAAGCTAAGCGTTTGGTACTATTTCCATGACCGTAGCTGTAACTGAATATGTTACTGAAAAACAAATTTGAAGTGTAATTTTCAGTCCGTCTTGTTTGTCACCTGCCATCACACTGCGGATTGACGTATCCATCATACATAAAAAAAAAACATACATATGTACAATATGCATGCATTTACATGTATATATGTATGTATGTATGTAGAAGCTGATTACTGAAAGGTTGCTGACCAATAAGTTTCAAATATCTCCGTCTATAAATTCTCATAAGATTTGTCAAGTACTCAACAACTATCTTTTGTATACATATAATTACATACATACATAAATATGTATGCAAAAGTAATTATCGCTGTCCATGCGCTTGGCATCCCAATGGCTGTGTTTTGTAATGGAAGAATTCAAGGAACTGCTCTCCGTGTGCTGAAAGCTGAAGCATGGTCCATTCTGCTGCTGGTGAATACTTCTTTAAGTAACCCATCCATGGTGCGACCCTCCTTTGTTTGTGTGCCGAGTGTTGGGATGCAGAGATCGGACACGAATCTGAGAAAGTATTGCGTCCGAAGGGGAGAGGCTCAGAGCAGGAAGAACTCATGATGCAGTATCAGGTCCGAGCACCCACAAGCTCACTTCCCACTTTTGATGAATGTAAATATTTCCGGTGAATAATAGAATGGCGAGTTTTGATTGATTAAATAAAGTGCACAGCACTACCATACCATTGACTTGATGAGACATCCATGGCACGAATATGTACATAAATATGTACATATGTATGTGCATACTCGCATGTGACGGTCTGGCATGTATATGTATGTCTGTATATAAATTTGTGTATGTATCAAATGTCAAGAACCAACCCTCTCGACTATGTATGTCGTCTCTCTCTCTCTCGCTCTGTCGGTCGGTCTCGCTCTCTCGCTCGCAGTGTGGTGGGCGTGGCCATCGTGGCAAAGCGCTTTGACTTTTCAGAGTATACCAGCTGAATGTTGTATTCCGACATCTCATTTGTTACAAAGTTAATGTCGGCGCATTAAGCTCCTCAGCGAAGTCGGGAGTTAAAATCTCTGCCTTCCAGATTGTCCCCCGCGCTCAGCAAACGGGCCCAGAAGCAGCAACCTTTATTGATTATTGGATCTGTGGACTTTGGGACTTTTTTTAGACATTCCGCTTAGAACCTTTAAGGTACGGCAAATATTCCATTCAGTTTTCGTCTGAAATGACAGTATCCGTGAGAGCTTTCACTGTGTACTCACATATCTTTAAGTACATATGTATGTACATGCATGTTTATATGTATGTACTGTTATTTTTTTTGGCCGTGAGCTAAATGCATATCGACATATTAATACACTTTAGCCTTAGATATAACGGATCAGCCGTATCCAACCTTTCACTATTGTTTTTAGCACAAATGGAAAAATCGCAATATTTATTCCTTTTATGTATCAGATTCATATGTACACTCTGAAGCTCGTAGTTAGGCATACATCCCGATCACACCCATACCCATAAGAATGAGCAATTTTCCCTCAAATTCAATTACAGTTAACTGGGAAGACCCTCGTCAGTGGAGGCAACAGCAGCGGGAGGAAAAGTTCGGCGGGAAGCGTCACTCTGTCGCTGGCCCCGTTGGAAGAGGGCAGAAGGCATGGAAAATCCAAAGGCACCAACATCACACAGGTATTATAAAACAAAAACAAAATGTCAAAGCCCAAGACGATTATACGAGCGCAAGCCGCGCAGCTGCGTCAACGTGAACTCTCACCAACAGTGCTGTCTTTCTAGTGGTTTTCCCACTGAATTTCGTGGTTAAAACAAAATGTTTTACTAAAGAAATAAATAAAAATAAGTAGAACTTCTTACTTAAAATATCTTTGACAATGGATCAGAAAGGATCCCATGGTTTTTCTGTCTATGTTTAAGACTATGATGGATAACAAATTGTTGCACTAACTAATGAATTACTAAATTTGGCTACCACATGGATTATCGGATTGTATTTGAACACACCGTTATATTTACTCTGGTCTCTATGTCGTTAGTTTTTAGTAATTTTTTTAAAAATATAATCTAGTGGGTTTTTATGACAGCACTGACTCTTGCTGTAGGAGTAATTCTGTGAGTGCGAGGGTGACTGTGAGTGGGATGGGGCCTGCCTCGGCATGGAGCTCGAGCTCCATTGCTCTCCTTCCTCTTATCGCTTAGTCATGATGGCGGCGTTCTCTGCCCCTGCGAGAGTGTGGTGTGTGTGTGTGTGCGCAGAGAGCGCAGAGCTGGGTGTTTATTGGAGATTGCGATTGTGGCTTGGCTTACATACAACAACAGCGTCGGATGCCACAGTATCAAGAAGGAACGAATCAAAGCAAGCCAGCAAGCAAATGCGCCACCAGAGTTGCCACTAAAAGTCTTCCTCCTCGGCCCAGAGTGGGCGACAGTTGGGGGTGGGTTGCGGGTGCGGTTATCCTTGGCATTCTTGTTGCTGTTGCTACTACGCTCGCTGCTCGATGCTCTCTGCTCTTAGCAGGGGTATGGATGGTCCTTGCTTTGCTGGTGGTGTGCTTTTTGTTCTCACTGCACTCACATACATACATATGTATGCATACATATGCACATACATACATACATATATACAGAGAGACATTCATGTGAACGTTCGCCATGTGCCCACTCACCGACCACGGATTATATCTACAGATTTTTTCCTATTTCGGGGTTGGCTGGATGGCTGGTTGGCTGCTTGACTGCTGGAGTGGACACATCACTGTTTAGCTCCTGTCATGGTTTTATGATAAATCTGAAATCGTACATCGAGACGTTAACATCATCGTCGCAGCAGTCGCTCTCGTTGCCCTATCCGTATCCGTTGTCAGTGCCGTCGGATCAGTTCGGTACGGTTTCATCAGCCTCAGAATCAGGAACCAAATTTCAGTTTCGTTGCTGGAATGCGGTTGCCGTCGTAACCTCTTCTTGGAGAAAATTTACAAGTGTAGCATGGAGCCTAAAACGCCAAAAGACAAAAAAAAGTGCACTTCTTTAACATTGACTGATTGACGGGTTAACAAATTAAATAGGTTATATGCTCAATTGAACTGCCTTATAAACACAAATAACACCTTCCGTAACACCTCGATATGAATAAGGACGAAAGTCTATCGGAAACGCGCCCTGAATCGCAAGGTAATTTCAGTTTTCCTGTGTTCAGTGCTATATTTAAAATACTCGTGCCCAGAGCAAGCAAACAAGGAAAAGATCAAACAAATAGCACCTGGATTACTGGATACTTTTTAATATCCGGGCAGATATTTTTGATATATCTGATACGGCCCTTCAACCACGAAAAACTAAAATTGTTTTCATTTAAATTTTGATGATTAAAAGTTCCGTAACACAGGCGAATTCGGAACAAAAAGTTTTAAAAATCATATTTTTGTGGAAAACAGCTATTGTGTTCGATATGTACTGTGATACTGGAGATACCAAACGTATACAAAATCGTGATTTAAAGTTAACGGGTCGTAATATGAAGATCAAAAATACTTTACGACCTATGCGCAGACCTACTTAATATACGACAAAAATTTCATGAAAATCGGTCCAGCCGTTTGGGAGGAGTTCAGTCACTAACACCGTCACACGAGATTTTTATATATACATATGTACATATGTATGTATAGAAAGAAGATTATATTAGAAGATTATGACTGTCATTGAGCATATAAAATTAGGTATTGTTGGAGTACCTGGGTATGTCCGGGTATTCTTGCCGGAAAGACCCGGAAAGCAAGTGAGGGGGACTAATATTAGTTCTCGTAGATCCTGGCCAGACAAACCGTGGCAACCGTAGAGTAGGTGGTGGAGGATATTTCCTTGGCCCTCTCGTACTCTTGTAATCATCCAGGTCGGAGAATACCTCCAAGAGCCGCGAATCTGCAAATGAGCATCGGTCTCCAACAGGGCCGAGCAGTGAATATTTCTGGGGAGGAGCTCATTACCGTACCTTACCAGGTTCTTTGCTTTGATCAGTTCCCATCTCTTGAGTTTCTAAACTACATGTTTGTGATTATTGAATATTCGCAACATATTTCTTCCGCCTTCCGTTCCATTCGCTTTGAACGGTGCGTAGACCTGATTAACGTTTGTATATCGTTAAAGATCAGGTGCTCGAAAAATCGATCAGCTCAAGCTAATTTTTTGTGCAAAAATAATAGTTCAATCATTCTTAATGCAAATTATCCTATCTATATATGTATAAATCAATTGGTGACAGTTGGCTTGGATTAAACTTTTGTCTGGGAAGGCTTAAAAGGAAAAATCGATCAGTATTTCATTAAATTGATATTTTAAAATTATTTAAATGCTTAAATAGTGGCAGCCTTAGCTCAGTGTTTACCTATCATGGCCAGTCAATGAATGCCAGGTACCCAACTCTGGAGATAATTTTTTGTGCCAAAAGTGGTCAGTTTGCTGGCCCACGACTATTAAGTCCTGTCTTCTGAAGACGCCGGCATTTAGTTGTAAAGCTAATATCGACACCTACCGAGTAAAAAAAGTCCCTCCTAATATCTAATGCCATTTTGAACTGAACTGACGATTTTCGACGCTCAAGTGTTTAAGAATACGATCCTACTTTGACATTTTTTTCGACACTTTTTACATTTTTTGTGGAAATTGTTTGCTTTTCAATTGAAAAAAAGTCATTAATTAAGAGCTAATGAATGTATCTATGCAATAAAAATCATTCCCGACTTACTTAGACGTTTTTGAATTCGCGCCATTGGTTTAAAGTTAGCTAACATAAGTGTCCACATTTCATTGTCCGCTATGTGTATACATATACTATTCGATACAACCTACTATAGAAAATACAGAACGCACTTTCTATACTAAAATATATGACTTACACTTCGAAATTTTCTTAGCTGAAAGAGAACGTGGAAAATTGTCATGAACTTTACAGCTAAAGCTGGCGCACCATATGTTATTGTAAGTTCGAGCACCGATAACTCTTTGAATATTCAAAATAAAAATAAAACGAGAAGGAACGTGTGAGTCGCTTCTGGGGACGCGGCTCTACTTATACCCGTACTCAGTTTTTTCGGTTTTTTACATTTTTGAGCTTATAATTTTTCAGAATTTTAGAATTAAGATAAAAAATTGTACTTTTTACGTTTTCTTTCCGCTAGCGCTCGTTAGTGTGAGAGCTAGAATGTATATTATACATCTAACAGGTGTGGAAGAAACTAAGATGTATTCTTCATTCTCCTATATGTAGGATCCGATCTGATAGATTCGGCAATCTGGTCGCTATGCACTCGCGTACGATTGCTCAGTAGCGTAAAATGTGACTGCCACAGATTGTCGGGTCCTCTGGCTGAAGTAGGCGTGGGAAGAAACTGACGATTAATTTCTTCATTCTCGCTATATTTAGGATCCGATCTGATTCAGATTCGGCAATCTAGACGGACAGACGGTCAGTCTCTACAGACATGGCTATATCGAGTCGGCTATTTATGCTGTCGGGTCTTGCCACAGATTGGTCATTTCACTGTGCAACGAATGGAACGGGTGACGATAAGAGGCATGCGATTGAGCCCGACAACAAAGACATACATTCCACCAAGTCTCCTGGGCTCAGCCTGCAACCAGCTATGGGCCACGCGAAAATTTGCTGGGTAGCCATTTCCGCCTGCACCAAAAAGAATATAATTTTACAAAGATAACAAAACTAACATATTTGGTAAGCTGCTAAGTTGTAGTACGCTTATACAAATGGATGAGCCTAGCGGGGCAACCGGATTTTGTGAAGTTTGTTTTAAATGTTAATCGCACACACCCTACAATTCCACAAAATATGCGTGATTCGTAATGCATAATTGCTGCGATCGTGAAAAATATTACAGACAGAATAAAGAATGTAGCTTCCCAACCAGGATTTTTATTGTCGGTAAAGTATTTTCATCATTCTTACTCAAATGATAAGATAATATGATAGATAATGATATAAATAATATCTTTTAGTTTTTTTTAAGTCTGATACCCGTACTTTTAAAATAGGTGGGATTTATTGATCGGCTGGAAAGACACGATCACAGCAGCATTTCGGGCAATCTTAGTTCTTAGACAGCCAATAAATCGGTATTTTAGCTACAGGCTGTTTGGTTGACAACACGTTACAAACCCAGCCATAAATATTTTACCAAATACATATAAATATGATTAAGTGGTTCGATTTTGTCACAATCTTCCTGCTTGATGTGAAAATGTGTAGTTACACAAATACGTAAGATTGGGTTGGTGATCTTGACCACAAATATAATCTTTATTATCCTAACAAATTTAAAATAAATCCTATAAATTATATGGATTATATAAAATAAGAGAGCTTTAAAACTGAGAGACTAGCCAGCATAGAAAAAGGCACACGTACGGACTCCTTCAAGATGACGAAGTTTTTTTTTTAAATGTACTTACATACATATGTATATATGTATATGTATGTATGAATGTACGTGATGTGCTAAGGCATTATACATTTTTTTAGGCTGTTGGACTGGAATGGCCTTCTGAATGCCTCTCAGGAACCTTTTTTAATATAATTTCATTATAATGTGGGAGAACACAAAAAGTAAACGGTATAATTATGTTTTCATAAGCCATTTACTAAAGAACGTGATAATGGCCTTTATGTATTTTTTTTTGCACTGTATTCTGTTTTTTTTTTAACTTGCAAAAAATTATAACTTTTATACTTTGTACTTAGGTACTTATTGATAGAAAGAAATAGGAACTATTTTTGACAAAGCAAATGACTATTTCTCTTGACCAGCATCAATGACAATCGACTCGAAATAGTCGCCTTCGCAGATCAATTAAATTTTTAATTAAGTTAAAATCCAGTTCTGATCGGATTCCAACAAAAAATAAAAAGAAAAGATGTAATTTTTCTATCTTAGGCCAGGCTTGTCACCACTTCTACATATGCCCCCATAAGATTTCGATGAGATTAAGATCCAGTTGGACAGTTGGACATGGTAAAACGTCAATCTTTTCGGATGAAACCAAATTCCTAGCGAACATTTTTGACTGTTTCCGGCCATTATCGTTTATCCTTTAGAAAGGCATTTTTCAACTGGAATAGAATTTCATAGCATTTTCAAATATAACTACATACATATACATTTTTGCTCCACACTCCAACACCAGACTTTTACTTTGTTTGAGCTGGCCTATGGGGCTATGAACCCATAGGGTTCATTATTTTGTTCATTATTTTTTTCTCATCAGTCAAAAGTATTTTTTTCACTCTGACACAGTCCACAATCCTTTTTCGCAAACTTGAGTCGTGAACCTACATATGTGCTCTATGACCAAACGCGTAGCTCCCTGGGACTTCTTTAATTTAAATAATACATATGTAATTACATATTATTATCAACCGTCTACGAACTGTCACATAACTGACAGAGCGATACAAAATTTTTTCATTTTATATTTGGCTTCAAGAGACAACGAGACAGACTAGATCGACTCTCTATTCAGCCTGATCAACAATATTTGTGTGCAACATGAACATATACCTCGTATAAGACTCGCATAAAAATAGCAGACAAATATACAAATGAAATCAAATCGACTCCACAACCATTCGATGGAGTGCACGAATGGTCTAACAAATTCAATTTATGATAATCACGAAATTGAATTAGACTCAAGTCAGGGCGGTAAAATTTCCAAATTCATATCACAGCCTGGGAGCGCTCTTAACACTTTTGTCAGGAGCACGCCAAAGTGAATTTCAACGAGCTCATAAAATTAACAAAGATGGAACGTCGGAAAATGCAAGCATATGACGCTAATCCCCTGGCATTAGACCGCAGCAGTGGCGTAGCAGTTGGCGGATGCCGGTCCATGTCCATGGCCAGGTCCAGCATAAACTCAGGGCAGACTCGAAACCAAGAAACCCAAACGGTCGGGCGCACAGCCAAGTGGCGAGAGTAACAAATGTGGCCTCGTCGAGGGTTAAGTGCATCAAAAAATCAGTAAGGAAACTACAATCAAATTAGGGTGTGATGGCAAAACAATCGTCCCCCGAGGCAAATTTTGCGCACAGATTGCTTGGCACGAGTCGAGTCGATCCGAGACGAGTCCGAGGCCGAGTCGAGAGCCGTTTGGCTTAATGGCACCCTAATTGAATGTGTAAATATATTTGCGGATTACAGGGCGTCAATGTCGCCACGCAGGGATAAGATCAGCAGGTCCCGGGCACCCATTTACCCCTACCCCTACCACAACCCCAACCACATCCCAGAAAAGTTGACAAATTGAAATTTAATTTAAATAAACTACATAAGTGATTTTTTATTACACGACCTTTGCAGAGCTGCACAGTCCACAGCGCAATTGCTACACACCGCCGCCAGCACCGATGCACGGACAACCAACCCCACCGACAGCGGCATCCTCCTCTGGAGCCCCACCAGCTCCTCCTGTTTCTGCGGGTCGTCTACTCAGCTGGAATCACAGTGCCGCTGCAGCAGCAGCAGCAGCAGCTGCGGCGGCAGCGGCGGCCACCTCCAACCAGTCATTGTCTTCGGCCGAACAGTCAACGATGTCCCGGATCAAAGGCCAGAACCTGGGCCTCATCTGCGTGGTCTGCGGCGACACCAGCTCGGGGAAGCACTACGGAATCCTGGCCTGCAATGGCTGCTCCGGTTTTTTTAAGCGCAGTGTGAGGAGGAAGCTCATTTACCGGTAGGTAGCCAGCACCAAAGTCCAAAATCCGCCCATTCGCATAAAAAGTTGCAACATTTGTTAAAACCAGGAGAGGGACATGAGGGTGGACTCTGTGCCATGAGGACCGTCTGGGGGATTACAAAACGCTTCCAAATTCATTACAATTATTCAAATCTTTAGGATTTGAGAGTCAACTTTTGAATGCGCATATTTGCCCGCGTAGACATCGTGGGCACCCACGTCCTGGGCATCATGTGCGAAACGGCTGGGTATTTTTTCCACAACACCACCGAAGCTTAAAATGTAATTGAATTTAAAGTGCTGATTTCGTTAAAAGATTTTTTCGTTTTTCTGTTTGCTGTTTTAAGAATTTGGAGAAACTGTTTTCCCGATTGCCATTAAATCAAGAAGCCCGACAGCATATAGCTTGAAATGAGACCATCAATGCTAGCCTATCCTATCAAAAATTATGATACAGTAATGTATATTTGCTTTGCGGCTTCCAGAATGCTCGGTAAATCACAAACGTCAAAATCTCTATATCCTGGCGGTCCCCTGAGATTGATATGGGGGGCTTAAGCGCAAAACACTTGGCCAAATGTGACCCGCCCGACCAGAGCCCACACAGATTCCAAAATCTTTACCCGCAGTCTGCCATCAGCAACAGCCTAAGCCGAATCGTAACAAAGTCAAAAAGGGGGCGGGTTTGGTTCTGCTCGGCTTTAAGCAAAATAGAGCAATGTTCTCCCCTGTGCGACCAAAGGGATGACTCGATACACTGACTACAGGAACAGACCAAAGGGGCTAGTGTATATTTTCTCCGACGTGACATGTTTTTCGATATATTTGGCATAGTCAATCGGAGCGGAGCCAAGGAAAGTGGGGTCGCTTTTATATCGTCGTCTCTGGTGGTCCCATTAAGTCGTTTTCAATTATAATCAATTGTTTCCAATCAGAACTTTCGAGTTCGGCTGAAGGAATTTCTCTTAGGAGGCTTGCGACAAAAATTTTTTGATGAGATTGTAATTTGCAACGTTTTGATTAAATCCTCAGAAACATAATGGTTTTTCGACCGATAGTTGATCTGATTCTCAAAATATATTCACAAATCGTACATTAAATCTCGAGCTCCTACATCCAGATTAGCATTACTAAGGGAACTAAGGGACATGACGTGTTTCCTCACTCTTACTGAATTTGTTGCTAGTTGGATTGGGTATTTTTAGACGCTAAGTTATGTTGGCTATAAAATATTATTGGATTTTTTTTATAGACCACACAAATTGATTCAATCTTCATAATTTGTTTACGAAGACGTGCTAATTTGCATAAAAATGTACTAACATCGTATGCATACGAATGAATAGTATTTCGAGGACACATTTACTTAAGTGCTTTGTGAGTGTTGGTCGAAATTAGCAGAGGCGCCAAAAACAAATAAAACGGGAGGACAGTAGGAGTTCGGTGGGACATTTTTCCATCTTTGAGTTTTGGCACGGGCTTGAGTGTGGAAGGCAGTGATGGTGATGACTAGACACTAAGCTAAAGTGGTTCGAATGGCTAGTTGGGTGGTGTGCTGCGGCACAGAGTCATAGATGCTTGCTAACACGCACACACACGCCCCTCGGCCGGGCTCGGGCTTGATTTGATTAAGTTCCACAAGTGCAAAGGGCAGGCAGAGGACCGGACCAGTAGGAGAGTAGCAGAGTGGGCGAACAAAGACCGAAAGGTCGATGAAAGAGAAGGTTGTTCGCAACGGATCCTTTTGCTGCCCGCTGGTGAACTAAAGCACAGACTCTGAAGTGCTTTTGTCCTCCGTCTATTGGCGGCTGGCATTCCGGTCCGTTGACGTTAGTCTGCTCCTTTGTGTTCTGGTCGGATTTGACAAATGTTGCAATTTTTGACACGACAAATCTCGTTATTTGCGGGAGGATGCGAGGATGGGATAACTTAATTATGCCTGGCAACTGGTGCTTTCCTCTGTATTCTACTGTCTAATCGATGCGATGAATGCCTCGCACACTCACATACACTTATTCTGATTGCAGCTGCCAGGCGGGCACGGGACGCTGCATCGTCGACAAGGCGCATCGGAATCAATGCCAGGCCTGCAGGCTCAAGAAGTGCCTTCAAATGGGAATGAACAAGGATGGTAGGTTGGCCGTCACTTTTTCACTATTTTATTAACATCTATCAGCAGCTCTCATCAACCGCCGCTCTAATGAAGTGAAGCACGTTTAATTGGTCTTTATCAGAGCCGAACCTCAAAAGCCTGTGCACACGTGCCCGGTTCCGTTCCACTCTAAGTAAATATACACATTTCTGGACTTGAGGTCTTCCACTTCCACATCCACTTCCACATCCATACCCCTTTTACACGCTGTGCCAGCGGGAAGAGCAACTACCTAGCACGCTTCCTCGGGGTGGGTTCCCCGTCCCGTCCCCGTCCCCAGTCCACCCAAGCACCGTTCCCTCCAGTGCGGGTGGGCCTTATTTACATATTGCTCACCCAATTGATTTGTTACCTGCTGCTTGTTGTCTTTGACAGATTTTGCGCAGCTTTAGAGCTGCCACTTGAGTGAACCCTCATTGATTATGTCGAATGAAAGTTTTGTTTCGTTTCGTTGTTGCGACGGATGCCAGGGTCCACGTCTGCTCTACTGTCTTTTGCATAACGCTCCTCGTAACGACCCAACCCGAAGGTTCCCCAGAAAATCAATAAAATTGGTCTCGATGGGTCAATATGTGAGTGTGGGCATCCACGACTTGGAATTACATACAATACATCAATCACTCATTGCTCACAGCTCGATATATATATGAATGCTCCATTTTCCATTCTCCATAATCATACTCCTACTTTATTCCTATCCGCTAGAATGTATAGCTCTGGAGAGTGTCGTCTGTGAGCCGAGCAAATCGATTTCATATTGGGAAAATTGTGAAAGCCAACGGTTCTCTAATAAAGCAGAGTCTGACTCTATTTATTATTTGAAACATCTTATTTGGCGCCCATTTTAAGCTGCTATTGACCCACTATTCACACTCCATTGTTGCTCCTTTATGGTGGCCATAAATTATGCGAGGGATATGCAAAATACGCGCAGCGCAGCCCCTGCTTGCCGATCCGCCATTATTAGCGAAGTAGCTCTGTGGCTGTGGCTGCCTCGTTGTGCGGTAAAGTTGCATCAACAAATGGGAAAACAATTTGTAGGCGTGAGCGGCACGTGACCACAAAACCAATTTCTGTGAATGGCTGAGGCTTGATGGGGCGCTGCTCTGTTGAAGCTATGCACAAATCTATATACATGTGTATATGTATGCTGATGAGAAGCGGCGAGAAGGCACGGTACCTGTGAGGCATGAAGCAATTTTGTCAGTGTGACATTTCCTCATTATGGACACGTCTTGTCGTCCGAGGCGTCCGCACACCTCGATTGGGCGTGTTTTGCCTTCCTGCTGCGTGGTGAACTGCGAGATATTCGAGGACGATTTAGATCTGGAGTACTCATGTTAGTTGCATTTGTTTTCCAATTACAGCGGTGCAAAATGAGCGACAGCCACGAAACACGGCCACTATACGGCCGGAGACGCTGAGGGAGATGGAACACGGCCGGGCGTTGCGCGAGGCGGCCGTTGCCGTCGGTGTGTTTGGGTAAGTCTGCGTGTGTCGAGTGTGCGACTGTGCGTGTGTGCGTTTGTGCGTTTGTGGCTGGGCTGTCATTTGCATAACTCACTGTCTAACCGCCCAAATCTCTGTCTGGGTAACTCTAATTTGCAGACCACCCGTGCTACTATCGCCTCCCTGCTACGGTTCCGGACTCCTGCCACCGCCCTGTGAGTAGTCGCCTCTCCATTTGGCTCTTAGTTTCAGTTTCAGTTTCCATAAAAACTCATTTGGTTCTTTCACAACTTAAACAGCGCTAGGCAGCCTGCCCCCGGGACGTTTACTGCACCACAACCACCTCACCTCGTCCATGCAGCTGGCAGCGAATCACATGAGCAGCGCCAGCTTTCCCATGTTTAACACCGCTGGAGTCCACCACTCGCCCAAGGAGAAGGCTGTGTATGGCTGTGGAATGGCCATGGAGCTGACCAGCAGCGGCAATGTCTCGCACTCGACCAACTCGAGCAGTAATCATTCGATAGATCCCAGTTCGCCAGCGCCGGAAGCAACCAACGAAAAGAACAACGCTGGTGGCAGCGTCTCTTCCGTCAGCTCTTCCAGTCCCACTCTAGAGAACGACAATGATGGTGAGTACAAAGCATCCACGAGTACCAGCCTATGTACATATACATATGAACCATAAATTCTGGTCTGACAGACGATTCCATTGATGTGACCAACGATGAGGAACCGCATACAGGCAGCAGATCCGACTCCAATTTCATCATGCCACAGTTCATGTCGCCTAACCTATATGCTCACCAGCATGAAACGGTTTACGAAACGAGCGCCAGACTTCTTTTCATGGCCGTGAAGTGGGCCAAGAACCTTCCTAGCTTTGCCCGTCTCTCCTTCCGGGATCAGGTAGCATAGCCCATAGCAATGTCGACTCTGTGCAACGTAAACGTAAACTTGTATTGCTCTTTCAGGTCATCCTGCTGGAGGAGTCTTGGTCGGAGCTGTTCCTCTTGAACGCCATTCAGTGGTGCATCCCCTTGGACCCCACGGGCTGCGCCCTTTTCTCTGTGGCCGAGCACTGCAATAACCTGGAGAACAACGCGAACGGTGATACTTGCATAACAAAGGAGGAGGTTAGTTTGAGCACAATTCGCGTATTGGTGGTTCGTAACGATTTTCTTGGTCAGCTGGCAGCCGATGTTCGAACTCTGCACGAAATCTTCTGCAAATACAAAGCTGTACTGGTGGATCCAGCTGAATTCGCATGCCTGAAGGCAATTGTGCTCTTCCGACCCGAGACCCGTGGCCTTAAGGACCCAGCACAAATAGAGAACCTTCAGGATCAGGCCCATGTAAGAGTCCAGATTCATTTGGTGTGGGCTATCTAAATGTCTTTATTTCCAATAGGTTATGTTGTCGCAGCATACCAAGACGCAGTTCACAGCTCAGATCGCAAGGTTCGGAAGACTCCTCCTGATGCTGCCCCTTCTGCGCATGATCAGCTCCCACAAGATTGAATCCATCTACTTTCAGCGCACAATCGGCAATACGCCAATGGAAAAGGTGCTCTGTGACATGTACAAGAACTAGTTAATTTGTGCTTTACGTTATACCCAATTTAAATAAATATGTTTTTGTGTCTTGAATGTTAAGTGGCATTAACTCTTTACTTTGTGCGCACATTTATGTTAAAAATACTAAAGTAGAGCCAACAAAACGCGGATTCCCAAAATACTATTTTATAAGACGACTTGCCAATGGGATAGTTCCTTAGGATTTAGGTTCTTCAGACTTGAATCTACCATGACCTTTTTCCCGACTGATTTCCATCATGTAGACGTTGACTCGAATGAAACAGTGAAATTTGGATGAACTTAAATATTCGTATCCTTATCAGCTCTTGGATAATTTTAACGCCAATCCATCAATCGTCTCTCCAACTCCTCCTCTTCAAGTCTGAATTGAAGCAGACTAGACTGCTGATCGGCTTGGTCCTTTCCAACTGGTGTCCAAAGAGTACGATCCACAACCGAAGCTGGAGTGCGCGAAGGCAGCGTTACCGGACCAATGCTCAACGTCTTGTACACGGCGGATAGCACTACAAATACCCAGGCTAAAATCTCGACCTTTGCTGATGACACCGTGATTCTAAGCAATCACACAGAAGCCAAGTAAAGAAAGTAACCTCCACTGGTTAGCTTGGGCTTGGCTTAGCTTGGACTGTAAAGTCCTCCTGTACAACTCCGTGCTGAAAGCTGTCTGTCTCCGAGTTATGGGAAAGAAGCAACATCGACATTATCCAGCGAGCACAGCCCAGAGTCCCGAGAAACATTACTCGAGCACCATGGTACCTCCGGAATGAGAATATCCACAGGAATTGAACATCAAAAGAATTAACAGGACAAACTTTCCTCCCAAAAATCGTATTAAATAGACTGATTACACTACTCGACAAAATTTAACATTTTTTTCCGCTTCGAACCAAACCGAATTTTTGTGATAGATTCTACGACAGAAATTTGTTTGAGGAATTAAAAAATTTGTTGTAATTTTTAATTTTTTACATAACTTACATCTGGTTTTAATGAACTTTGCCATTCTGAAAAGCTAATAAAAGCAGCTTTAGAAGCACTTTGTTGTTTCAGCTTACCGTCTGGTAAATATTAAGTTTTCAAATGCAAAATAGATACATTTTGGTGCGGTATTTGTTTCAAAATGAATACCTGACTTTTAAAACTCAGGAAAAGTCCAAAAAAATAAAGCCCGTTTCCTCTTATTCCTTGTGTATAGGGCATTAAATATAAATATGTATACGTCGTTCAAAGATAGCTTTCCCCTATTTTGAATATGTCGCCATTCCGCGGCGGAATATAGAATTATTATATATTTTGCTCGTACCATACCATATACGGTCCGAGCTCGACAGCAACCAGCAGTGCAATTTTATGTGTTAGTGCATCACACAAAAATATACATATGTATGTATATGATTGTATGCTTTTTCGTTATTAGCGCTTGAGGCGTTTTGAATTTATACGTTTTCAATTTTTGTCTTCTCAGCTCACATACCCATTATTTTAGATTTTTATACCTGTACTCAAAAAGAGTTAAGGGGTATATTGGATTTGTGGTAAAAGTTGATATGTGCAAGGCAGAGAAGGAAACGTTTTCGACCCCATAAAGTATATATATATATTCTTGATCAGCATCAATAGCCGAGTCGATATAGCCATGTCCGTCTGTTCGTCTGTCCGTCTTGATAAGCGCCTAGATCTCAGAGACTATAAGAGCTAGAGCAATTTTGTTTCCAGACTCATGTGACATAACACTGCTACAAGTGTATTTCAAAATTTCGCCCCGCCCTCTTCCGCCTCCACAAAGGACGAAAATCTGTGGCAGGCACAATTTTAAAGATAAAACTGAAAACGCAGTATCGTAGAGGATGACCATATCAACCAGATTGCCGAATCTGAATCAGATCGGATCATAATTATAGCCAGAAAAAGCAATTTTTCCGTTGCTTCCCCTGCCTCCTTTATATACTGACTTAGGACGGCTATTAAAGTAGAGTCGCGCCCAGAAGAGACTCACACGTTCATTCTCGTTGTGTGTATACTTATAAAGAAATGTCAACATTTTCATAATACAATGGTTGCATAGCATATCTCAGTTGTTTTCATGAAGAAATTGGCCTGAATTGTTATATTTAATTATTTCACATGCAAAACATATATTATCTTTGCAATTAAGAATTATTAAGAAGAGAAAAATGGCATGAGACCGAAAAAAAAGTTTAAAGTAGCATTCGTTCGCGACCGTAGGTACAATTTTATTTTTTTATAACGTTTACTTTTGCAGTAAATTAAATTTGCAGATGGCTAAAACCTGTGAAAAACGTAACCGATATATCAATAAAATTAAAAGCGATCCACCCAAGTTAAAAGAATAGCGCGAGAAAGCAACTGAGAGAATGAAAATAAATGTTATTACACACATAAATATGAAGTGATTGATAGGGAAACATGGGTTGAAAAAATTAAAAAAAAAACATTTTATATGATTTGGCCTTGTATGACTGTATGACACATTTTTCACCTGTTTATATCTGTATCTTCATGGTGGTCCCCGTCGGTTGCACCATCTGCTGCAGTTGATAGCCCGACGCATTCCATTGCCAATAAAATAATAGGTGGCTCAGAATATGCCAGCGGAAGACCGAACCCAGGCGGAGAAGTGAAATTCATTAACTTTGCTTACGTTAATAAAATTTGTAAGCAAAAACATCTGACTGAGCGTGTAAGTGCTGAGCACACTTGGTCACACTCGGCACATTTTGAGAGCGAACTAACAAAGATGAGTAATTAGCAATGCAAATGTGAAATTGCTATTGCAATTATCTTAGAAATGGACGGCGAAGCAGCTCCGAATGAATCATCTCCGCCACTGAACATTCTGTGTGGCATCTGCAACGAGTTCTATCGGGCAAACGACATTATATTTTCCACTGCAAGCTGCGGCCATGTATTTCACAAGGATTGCCTGACGCGCTGGCTTGGCCGTTCCCCGACGTGTCCACAGTGTCGGGCCAATTGCCATAGGAACCGCATTCACCGCATTTATCTGAATTTCGGTGAGCGCACGGAGCTCGACGACCAGGAGGCACCAAAGCAGCCTGTTCAATGGGTGCCTATGGATCTCGACCCCCTTAGTCCCCAGGACGCACACAACGTACCGGAAGGTGCTCTTCAGTGTGGCACCGATGAGGATGGCCTGCCCACATATGTAGCCCGCGGCTACTTCAACGACGATCTGCTGCCAGCGAGCTATGTGCCCCAGAAGAAGGCAGCGTTTGGCTCTTGGAGCTGCCGCTCCCATAGGCTCGTCGACGGGGTGGAAGTCCTCGTGTTGACCGACTGCGATTACCAGTGGGTATCTGGCTCCAATGGAAGTTTCCCTGAAAACGCACTGAAGACAGGATACTCAGAGATTGGCGAGGTGACGTACACCGGACACGGAGTATACGAAGGCGTCACGAGACTGGGAAAAGTGCATCCCTCTCACAAGGTCATGTACATGCCGCACCATGGACAGGAGGTGAACACAGCAAACTATTACGTTTTGGTGGTTACACCTCGCGTAGAACCAGCATCTTCATCGTAAGATCTCTCGCACCGAGTTTTATATTTAATGTTGAATGTGCAGGGATAGATAGATGTCCCCCCATATAATAAAATACAGCTGATACCTATCCCGATTCTTGCTGCATCTTTATGTAATAGTTTATTTTATTCAAATCTGATAGACGCCATATACATATTTACTGTAATGTTTGTATATTACGCATGCTGAGAACTGTGTTATCCCCGAACATGGCTTTAACTATGCATATGACTACGCTGTAAATCTACAATCATATTGGTATTCCTCGCTATTCTATACTTTTTATCTGACATTGTTGTATCAACAAAGAGCTTTAAAAATAAGTTTAGTTATAGCTATTTGTTATGCATGATGTGTATACTTTGTTTAATAAATTTTCTGAATCTGCACAGTAACATGACATTTAGGATATATGTATATGTATGTATATATTTAGCTAAAATACGATTTTATATGCTCAACGTGTGTGTAACATTTATCCAACAGGCTTGACTTTCAATAGAAATAGGATTTATCTTGATTCCTTGACTTTTTGTACTTAGTTTCTAAACAAATTGTATATTTATAAATATAAAAAATGAGTGTGACTGCTTGTGTGTTTTTGGGTGTGGGTTTGGGTGTGTATGGTGTGTGACTGACTACATGAGACATTCACTGACATATTTACAAGTTGATTGAATCCGATGTGTAATGAATGCATGCATGCGTGGTGGTGTGTTATTTTGTGTTCCTTGAGCCTATGTTTGGATTTAAGGATTATTTGTGATCGGATCGGAGATTGGAGACGAAAATGGGGCGGCTAGAGATTAGGGATATGGGTATAGTATGGTATGGTTTGACATTTGAGCTCAGGATCAGACAGGAAACAAAACAGTTACACTAGTTCAATTGGAAAACATAACAGCAAATTCAATGGACAATTGAAAATATTCTACACAGGATTAATAGCTTTCGAAGTAGTTTTGGAAGTGGTGGACAAAAACCTACTTTAGATTTAATAAACTAAATTAATTAGTTTAAAAAATGTATTTTACTTATGATAATCCCTCAAGGCTCGCCAGCTTTTCCTTCAGCTTTTGACGCCGACGCCGACGACGGGTTGATCGCCATCCCGGAGGCCTGTCTCATTTCTGCGAGGACAAATAATTCATGTACTTGGTGGTTTGTTGTGCATTGCGCACCAGCTCGCTTTCCTCCTTGCCAGAGGGCGCCGGTGGCGGCTGTTCCTGCCCACGGCGGTCCCAGTTTTCCTCCTTCTGCGGTTGATGGATGTCCGGCTGTGAGCGGCGCGTGAAGTTGCGATGGCGTTGATGCTGGTGCTGCGGATTATGCGGCGAATTCTGTTGGCGGCGATCGAATGTACTGGACGCCTCGCTAGCCAAACTACTCTGACTGCTGTAGCGGGGGAAGCCACGTGGTCCCCCAGCGCCTCCTCCGCGAGTAGGACTCTGGTTGTAACGATACGTATTGGGTTTGTCCATTTGTGACTTGGCTGGTCGGGGCAGGGTGCGGGCCCTCGACGAGCTGCGACTGTTTGATTCCGGCCCGTTGGAGTTGTACGCACAGTTCTCATCCTGATAGGAGCTGTTAATGGCCGTGTTCGAGCGGCGCCAAGTATCGCTGTGTATCTTCTGTGGACCGCCTTGATTCTGCTGGAGCTGTTGTTGCTGCTTCTGGAAACGCGGCGGTTTGTCGTAAGTGTTGCGGTTATTGAAGCGCCCCGCCCCGCCCCGCTTGTAGCTGTTACCACGCTCATAGTTGCTCATGTAGGAGCGCTCACTACGATCGTCCCGGTCCCGTTGGTCCCAATTCGAGTTCACAATGCTGTTGTAGTTGGCGCCGCCGCTCATGTTGCGCTCGTGCCTCTCCTGCGAGTGCTTCCTGCGGTCTTGAATAGTATAGAGGCGTAAGTTTCCTCCGCTCTCGCTGCGTACACTGTGCTGGTCGTCGTCGCAGCTCACGCTGTAGCGCCTCTGTTGGTCGCGCGAGCGACCGTTGCTCTGGTCGCCCTCGTGGTTGCGATTGAAGCGTGTCTTTCGCCAGCTGGGCAGGGGCTTGCTCTCGTCGCGGTCTTCACTGCTGGCCATGGAGAGATATTGGTCGGATTGGGGGCTGTCGGAGGAATCGAAAGAGATGATTGCATTACAGTGGAAGCGATAGAGATGCCAGTGCGATATACGTACTCTACGTTAGCTGAAGGTTGCTGATGCTGTTGCGTCTTCAGTGGTCTCGGTGCTTGGCGCGGCTGATAGCTTCGGCGAACATGGCGTGGGCCAAGCTCAGTGGCGGTGTTGGCAGGATAGGAATTTGTTACATTTTCTTGATACTTCTGTTCGCCCGGATCTGCCTCGCCATAGCCAATGTCGCAGAAGGAGTCCTCGCAGACCTGCTCGCTCCATTTCTTCGTCGAGGCAATACCCTCGTATGATTCCTGGTCCTGGACGGAGGTATTAGCACTGGAGCCGTTCTCTTCAGCGGAATTCTGTACACTGGCGCCATTGTTGTTGGCGCCATCTTCTTCACCCTCGTCCACCACCAAATAATTGGTGTACATGGCCTCCAGGTCGTGTCCCACGTTCTTGAAGTGACTGTAGAACAGGTCCAGAACCATGAGGAGCATGGCCTTAACCTTGGCCGTCAGCGCCGGCTGCATGATCAGGTGCCGTCTAATGTGGAACAGTAGCTGGTCGATGTCCGCCTTGTGGCGCTTGCGCATTATCTCCCCGTTGAGCGTGATCTGTGAGAGAACGAGACGGGCCAGGCGCGTATTGATCACCACTGAAGTGTCGTTCAGCTCGCGCGTCAGCAGATTCAGCAGCGATTCGCCCAGTATGGTAATGGGAGCGTTGTCCGCCAGCCGCACGCGATGGTAGTACTCGCCAAGCAGCGTGATCGAGTTGTAGAGACGATTCTTGTCGCGCAACCGATACGCATCCGCATTAATAAAGTTCGTCTCTAGGATCTTAAGCATGGAGCTGCGCACCTTGGTCGAATTCATGGCCAGGGCATCAAAGTTACGCGACGAGAAGAGCAGGGCAAACTTGAGCGCCGTATCGCTGTCCGCGAGGGCCTTGCTGTTCATATACTCCATGGATTCGCTGTAGATGAGTAGTACAAATGTTAAATAATGAACATGCTTGTATAAATAGAGTAACATAAAGTTATTATTTGAGCAGCAAATGGCAGGGAAAATGTTCAATTTGAACTAATTCAATGGCAAAACGCTTCTCCTCTCACACTTCGATTATTTTATTTATGTAAGTACATACATACATATGTACATATATACATATATTAAAAGTTGTAAATTTTTAAGACACGCTGCAAACAAACAACAACTGACTATATACAGTGCATCTCAAAAATGTATGCTATCCTCTATTGATCCTCTTTTCGATCATTATTACCACAGAAATCAAAATAAGTGGATTTTATACAGGGGTATGTACATGCAAATCTTTTAGCATACAGAATTTGAAGCCTACGTGAAGACCGCATCTACTTGGCAATTGCAGATCGTATTATACCTGTCTTACACTAGCCGTATTCTTTCGCGACGCACTGTACATACATGTGAGTGTGTTTGTACATACAAGCATACATATGTAGGTATGTATGTACATTTACGTATATGCGGGAAAAAAGCAACAACTAAAACCATACATACTACTTATAATATTATTAATCATCAATGGGCCACCAACTCACACACACAAACAGACTAGGCAAATAAGACACATACCACAGCATCGATTCGTCGTGCACAATGTTGCAGAAGTCCGTTTCAATGGTCTTTATTTTTGCATTAAGCAGGATCCCGTCGTCCTGCAGGTCAAGTCCTCGCATCAGCGCTATGATGTGATCGTACGAGCACCCACCTGTTGGTATCATGTAGTGGGTGTTTGGCCCCGGGTTGAGCATGTTGCAGACATCGCGAAGTCGCGCCTCGCCGCTGCTGTTTCCACTGTCCACACTCACACTGTTGTGGTTATTGTAAGTGTAGTTGGCACTATTGCTCTGGTTGCTGCTGCTGTTGTTGCTGGTGGAGTTGTGGCTGCTGTTGCTAATCATATTAGCCATTCTTGCGATCGGACGAAGGATTTCTTTTCGTTGTCGCACTGTTGTTTGTTTTCCGTTTTCTTCCTACTCGTCTGGTCTTTCCGTCTGGTTTTCTTGTGCTTCTATTTCTGCTCTCCTCCGTGCCAGTGCTTCGCTGGTGTGTGCGGTCCAACAAAAACGAATTAGCGTTGACAAAGGTGTCGAGTGCGCATGCAAAATTTCCACCTTTCCTTTGGCTTCAGCAATTTTTGGATTTGCTCACCGGACCGACCCGACGGATGCGTTTATGAATAAGTATGAAATAAAATAATATAATTACAAATATATCAAAGCATTATATATATATACGCGTTTTTAGCTGCAAAACAATCGGTAGCACTATCGATGGTACGAATGAGTTATCGAGGTGTCAACGTTTTGAATAATTTCTAGGAGTTTTCAATAACTTCATGGAAATTCACATTGAAAATATAGTCTGTACTCCTTTGAGTTAATACGAATTCCTAAATTGTCGATTTAAATTATTTCAAAATATATTTATGGATACCCCTATTATCAATATGGATGCTTCTAAAACGTTCAAAAACACCTTAAGCACGATCAGAATTCACAAAATGTGGTACTTACAGTCAATAATAATCACATTCTAGTATGTAATCCAATCAAGGCATTTATTCTAGACGAGTCAAAGATTTTTATTAATTTTTTTAAAGAATAGGCACTATCGGAACTTTGAATCACAGTCGATATATATTACTTGTGGCCCAGCTGTTTTGATACGCGCCAAACTGCAAAGCGTGTGTGAAATTTTGTGTCCGTAATAACTGTTTATGTTCATAGTGCATCGAGTTAAACCATGTTGAATTTAAATTGCGTAATTTGCGCCGAGCTATTCGCACAATCGGATGAGGTGTACGTCACCATGTGTGGCCATATGTTCCACCACAACTGCCTCAACCAATGGCTGGATCGGTAAAACCTGTCAGGACTTGTGCGCTGCAAATGCAACTAATGAGGTTTCTCTTGCA